CAATAAATCTTGTCTGTAAGAGGGGATTCAAAGTTGTTTTTGAATCTGACAAACTAATCCTATCCAAGAATGGGATGTTTGTTGGAAATGGATATGGTTGTAATGGTATGTTCAAATTAAGTATTAATGAAGGAAAAGTTCCTACTTATATTGTCAATTTTTTCTCTTTATGGCATGATAGATTAGCACACTTGAATTTTAAATCCATAAAGAACATGAGCAAACTTGGTATAATTGTTTACAATAATGAATCAACTGAAAAATGTGAGATATGTATAAAATCTAAAATGGCTAAGAAACTTTTCCCTAGTGTTGAGAGAAATTCTCAACTTCTAGAACTAATTCATTCCGACATCTGTGAACTCAATGGTGTATTAACTAGAGGAGGTAAGAGATACTTCATAACATTTATAAATGACTTTTTTAGATACACCTATGTCTACCTTATGAGAACTAAGGATGAAGCCTTTGATATGTTTAAACTGTACAAGATTGAAGTTGAAAATCAACTAGAAAAGAAAATTAAAATCCTTAAAAGTGATAGGGGTGCTGAATACTTTAAAAATGAGTTTAATTCTTTCTGTGAAGAATTTGGAATAATACATCAGTGTTATGCTCCCTATACCCTTCAATAGAATGACTTGGTCGAAAGGAAAAATAGAACACTTATAGAAATGATAAACTGCATGTTGTTAAAAGCTAATGCACCCTTAAACCTGTGGGGGGAAGCACTCCTAACAATTTGTCATTTACATAACAGAATTGTTTCTAGAGTTGATAACAAATGCCCGTATGAATTATGGACATAAAGAAAGCCTAATTTAACATATCTGAAAGTGTGGGGGTGCTTAGCATATTATAGAGTTCTAGATCCTAAAAGAATCAAATTAGGACTTAGAGCTAAGAGAAGTATGTTTGTTGGATATGTAGAACATAGCAAGGCCTATAGGTTTTTAGACTTAGAGTCCAACATAATAATTGAAACTAGAGATGTTGAATTCTTCGAAAATAAATTGTGTTCTGAATCTATAGAAAATGAATCCACAGAAAATGACAGAGAACCTGAAAGAGAAACTCAAATCTCAATACCTATTGATAATAATGAGACTGAAAGAAGAAATGACACAATTGTAACACCTACACTAGGGCCTAGAAGAAGTTAAAGACAAAGAACAGAGAAACACTTAGGTTCAGATTTTATCTCTACTCAGTTAATTGTATTTTTGGTTGAGGCTGATAGAGAAAATATTTTAAATAAGATACCCATTGTTCTGAACATTGAAAATGATCCAAAAACCTACAGTAAGGTCATGACCTCTAGAAATGGTGCCTTTTGGAAGGAAGCTATAAATGATGAAATTGATTCAATATGTCAAATAACACATGGGTACTAGTAGACCTGCCACTAGGATCAAAACCAATAAAATGTAAATGGGTGTTTAGATGAAAATACAACACTGATGGAACTGTACAAATTTTTAAGGCTAGATTGGTAGCTAAAGGATTTAGTTAAAATGAATGGATTGATTACTTTGAAACCTATGCATCAGTGGCTAGAACAACTTCTATTAGAACACTCATAGCATTAGCATACATTTATCACTTATTTGTTCATCAAATAGATGTTAAAACTGTTTTCTTAAATGGTGATTTAAATGATGAGGTTTATATGGAACAACCAAAAGGATTTGTTCTTCCTGGAAATGAGAAGAAAGTCTGTAAACTGGTTAAATCACTATATGGATTAAAACAAGCACCTAAACAGTGACATGAAAATTTTGATTCTTTCATTCTAGCTTTTGGTTTTAAACATAATAGTGTTGATAGATGCATCTACTCAAAATTCCCTGGAAATTATTGAGTAATTGTATGTCTTTATGTTGATGATATGCTTATTGTGGGTAATGGTTGGCATAAATGAAACTAAAAAACTACTTATCCTCTGTCTTCAAGATKAAAGATTTAGGAGAAGTAGATGTCATCTTGGGAATAAAAGTTAAAAAGCATAGTAGGGGTTATGCATTAAGCCAATCACATTATATTGAGAAAGTACTTGAAAAATTTAAGCATTTAGGGTTTAAAGAATATAGCACGCCATATGATTCTACTATAAAGTTAGTAGAAAATAWTGGTAGAGCAATTGCACAACTTGAGTATACTAGTGCAATAGGAAGCTTGATGTATGCTATGCTTTGTACTAGACCTGATATTGCATTTGTAGTAAGTAATCTCAGTCGGTTTACAAGTAATCCCGGTGCAGAGCATTGGAAGGCAATTGGAAGAGTTCTTGGGTATTTCAAGAGAACCTTGGAACTTGGCTTGTTTTACTGTGATTATCTAGCTGTATTAGAAGGGTACACTGATGCAAGTTGGATTACTGGTAATGGAAATAACAAGTCCATCTCTAGATGGATTTTTGTTCTTGGTGGGGGTGCGATCTCTTGGGCATCCAAGAGACAAACTTGTATATCTCACTCGACCATGGAATCTGAATTCATAGTCTTAGCGGCTGCTGGAAAAGAGGCTGAATGGATTAGGAATTTATTATTGGATATAAAATTTTTGCCTAGTCCTATGCTTCAAATTTCCATTTACTGTGATAGTAAGGCAACTCTGTCAAGAGCCTATAGTGGTTCCTACAATAGTAAGTCCAAACATATAAGTATGAAACATGAATTTGTTAGGCAACTGATTCAAGATGGAGTCATCACTATAACCTATGTGAGGTCAAGTAAAAACTTGGTTGATCCTCTTACCAAGGGTTTGGCTAGAGAATTTGTAAGAATGACAACCAAAGAGATGGGATTAAAACCCTTTACTTAATCACCTGTAATGGTAACCCGGCCTTAACTGAAAAACCATCAGTATTGGGTTTAATGGGTAACAACAAGTTACAGCAATGTGATTGTTAGCACTGACATTGAGAAATTTTCCATCACAACATAAAAAGTGTTGTCCGTTATGATGAGAGATTGAGTTAAACTTTTAATGAAGTTCTAAAATGTGTCAAATGACGGAACACATAGTGGAACTTCACCTATGTGAACATAGAAGTGTCGCTTCTTATGAGAGTTTGTGTTTGCTCTCGGGATTGTTCATGAAACCAGGAAAGAAGCACATGGCCATAACTGTGTTGAGCAAAACTTGAAACTCTTGCAAATATTAGACATTTTTTTTTGTGTATGGGTGTCTCTGGTCTGTCTTGAGAGTAATTGGTTTAAGGTCTTACCACCAATAACTTTGACAAGGTTCTGAGATATCTATACTAACAAAAGGTTTAAGTTGATAAACACCTTTTGTATGCATAACTGTGTCATAATAGTTTGGATTGAGAGAGAACTATGCAATTGATCAATCAATGTGGGGGATTGTTGGATTTTAATCTCACAAGAGATTAAATTCAATGGGTTTGATTGGTCAATTACATGAGAAATTGCACATGCACACTTGATTAAAAAATTAGCTTTTCTCTTACAAAACCCAGTTTTGAACTTGTCCCACCTTGGAAAATTATAAGCTTTGTTTTCTAGTATTTTAATAAGAGCTGGTTTACATTCCTTAGAAATAGTAGAGGAGAGTATGGGGGTTTGATACCACGCAGCGCGTGTGCGCGCGTGTTTACGGCGCAATGAAGCACTTTAGAGGTGCACTTTGCTCACACTTCGCGCACACCCACGTAGCTCGTGAAGGGCAGCTTTGGTTTTGGTGCGATGTTGACCGTTGATCACCGTTGATGAGATCAAAGTTAACAATCATTAACTGTTAACTACTTTTTAAACAGTCACAATGTCTGAAATTGTGACTATTCAAGGTGCCTTCTCTAAACCAGCACCTACCTTTTCTTCATACCTCTTCATTAACTATTTAAGGAGCATGAATCAGACTTCAAAAACATACATTTTCGAAATCCACTTTCTCTCTCTTTCTCAGTCCAGCCTGCTACAGTCTCACAGAAGGTTTCTTCGGAGATTCTTCAACTTTGCTGGTTGCAGATTCTCGCCCAAGGCTCTGTTGTATCCTGGGAACGGATTTGTCTGTAACCCAACAACAAACTCGGTGAAACTGAGTGGAGGCAAATAACGTTCTAAAGACAGTGTCTTCAGACGCGCCTCAGAGCTTCTCCTCCAAAGTTACAGTGACCCCATTTTCCAACTGTCAGGATATTTTATAGGGTGCAGATGTGAATTCATTCATTCCACCTTCACCTAAATCAGTTTAGATCAGCTACAAGCCTACAACGCTTGGAGTTCACAACTGCACCCCACAAAAGGGTGCCTCACAATGCTCCACAGCACATCCCAACTATATACTCATCTCGTGATGATGTCTCAACATTTACTATCATTGCTAGATGTTTCCCATATATGATTGGGACAAGCACTGGATCTGCTCCTCACACATGGTGTCTCACACCAATCTAACAGGCACACCCCACCGTACATTGGGACTCCCGTACTTGCGTGTTATTATTTATGGGATGTTCCCAATGCACGGTGGAATGCGTCTGTGATGTCATTGTGAGGTGCCTTGTGTGAAGAACATATCCCAATTCTAAGGTTCAAAATATCGATATGTCCAATACATCAATAGGGGTGTATCGAGCGTATTGGGCGAATCGATACATTTTTTTTGCTTTTTTTATTTTTTCAAAACTGATTCTGGGGGGCCAGTTTAGAGCTCCTCCACCCCTTAACCGGTCAGACTCCAATACACCCACCGTAGGGGCGTATGGAGAGGTCCCGGAACAATACGTGTCTATACTTTGAACCTTGCCCAATTCAATGCTGTGGGACGCGCACTTTTGTGGGGCGCAGATGTGAACTCCAACGCACGGTGACAACAAATGTCCCAACCTCAGTAACTCTGTCCGTTTAAAGACCATCTCGTTAAATGATTCAAAGAAGGCTCCCGAAGTAGCCGTTAAACGGAGCCTCCCATCCAACGGCCTATATTGGTTTATAATTCAAAATCGAATCGAAACCAAAACCCTATATGACCGTTTGAACTTTGAAGAAAGGAAATCTCTCTCTCTCCTCTCTCTCTCTTCTCTCTCTCGCAGAGAAACACACTAGCTCTGAAATTTGCTTTTCAAGAACAATCACGCCATGGAAGGTACAGAATCCTCTAATCTCCTCGATTTCTTCTTTTCTCCCTGTTATTTTTTCTTTCATTTTCTTTTTCTTTTTGAATCGATGATCTGAAATACGTGAATGGTGTTTCAGAAAAAAGCCAAGATACTCTGCCGGAAAAATACGAAATCGTTACAGATCATGAACTAAATCCTCCACCGAGTTCTGACCTGGGTTAGTATATCTTTGATTTCCGCTTTGTTGCTCGTTTAAATTTTGATTTGTGTTGTCAGGATTTCGTTTCAGATGAAATTCGGTGAACCCAACTTGTGCAATTCTTCTTTCTTCCCTTGATCTGGAATTATTTCTCTTTTGCAATTTCATTTTTGTCTCTGAAATTTACTGGTTAGTGTTTTTTTTTTTTTTTTCAGAACTACGGAAGGGCGGCAAGACCATAACTGGAAGCCAAGAAATCTTATTGGATCAACAGCGGGGCCTTCCATTGTTGAAGAAGATTGATGCCATGAGCACGACACTACAGGTAGATTCATGATAAGTTTAATCCCAGAAGTCCAATATATCAGTAGCAGGGAATACTGACTTCTAACTTTCCTGTTGCAGAATTTGAAAAAAGAGCGCATGATTCTTTCTGATGTCGTCAAGGGCATCAGTGCAGAGTCACTTCTTGGCTCCGATGTCTTGTCCTCTCTTCAGATTCTCGGTACGTTTTGTGAATCGGGTTCCTGATGGTTCTTGCTTTCCCTGTTTACGTTTTAGTGATGGATCTTCTTGCCACTCCCTGATGATTCTTATTCTTGCTTTCAGGGACTGAACATGAAACACTGAAGAAGAAGTATCTTGAGGAAAGCTCTGAGCGAAAGCGACTCTATAACGAAGTAATTGAGCTTAAGGGCAACATAAGGGTCTTCTGCAGATGTAGGCCTTTAAACCAAGATGAAATTGCAAGTGGTTCTTCTTCAGTGGTAGAGTTCGATCCATCTCAAGAAACTGAGCTACAGATTATATGTTCTGACTCGTCTAGAAAGCAATTCAAGTTTGATCATATATTTGGACCTAAGGACAATCAAGGTAAACCTTATTTCTTTTTATGTCCAATACATTTAGTTTAGATTTTGCTACTCTGCAATTGGGAAGGTAAAGATTAGAAGAAAAACCATTGACATTTTTATCAATTTTTCTTGGTGTAATTTATCAATTTAGATCTATGGTTTGCCTCTATAAAGATCTTAACCTTGTTAATTTATTTACTGATTTATATCCTTTTGTTTGACTAATAAAATCTCCAGAGGCTGTCTTTGCTCAGACTTCACCTGTTGTGACCTCGGTGTTGGATGGATACAATGTCTGTATATTTGCCTATGGGCAGACAGGAACTGGGAAGACATTTACAATGGAAGGAACACCTGAGAATAGAGGAGTTAACTATAGGACCTTGGAGGAGTTGTTTAGAATTTCCAAAGAGAGATGTAGTACTATGAAATACGAATTGTTCGTGAGTATGCTAGAGGTATACAATGAGAAGATTAGGGATCTTCTGGTGGAGAATCCCAATCAACCTCCAAAAAAGTAAGTAGTCTTCACCTTTGATAAATTAGAGAAATGGGTAGTTTTCATTTCAATTAAAAAGTGGGGAGAGAACAAATTGGCTTACATTTTGTTGCACTACTTGAAAATTAACAAAAGGTTAGAGGTAAAGCAAGCAGCAGAGGGGACCCAGGAGGTTCCGGGACTAGTTGAAGCTCGGGTATATTCCACAGATGAGGTGTGGGAGCTGCTTAAGACCGGAAGCTGTGCCAGATCTGTTGGATCAACTAATGCTAATGAACTCAGTAGCCGCTCACACTGGTATTGTATTGATTTCCCAATCTTCCTTTTCTGTAGTTAGTTCTTGCTGGCTGGGTTTGGAATTGTTAACCTCTTTATTATGGTTTGACCGCCGCCCCCCCCCCCTCCCCCTGGAATTTTAGTTTTGAGCGGCAAAAAGCCAATGCCCAATGGGTTAAGTGAAGATGAAAAAATGGTTTCAAAACTAATGCGTGAAGATGATCAAAATATTCCTTTGGTTTGACACCCCCCCCCCCCCCGGTTTTGGAATTTTAAGTGTTTACAAGAATCAGAAAAGTCTAAGGAGTGAATAGAATCTAGCCTGAAGAGTTTAGTTTTGAGCAGCAAAAGCCAATGCCCAATGGGTTAAGTGAAGATGAAAAAATGGTTTCAAAATTGATACGTGAAGATGACCAGAATATTCCTTTTATGTGGCTAACGACCAAATCCTCTGACTGCAGTCTGTTGCGTATAACTGTTAAGGGCGAGAATTTGATAAATGGGCAGAGGACCAGGAGCCACCTTTGGCTGGTAGACCTGGCAGGTAGTGAGCGTCTTGGAAGAATTGAAGTGGAGGGAGAAAGGTTGAAGGAGTCACAGTTCATTAACAAGTCCCTCTCAGCACTTGGTGATGTTATTTCTGCTCTAGCATCCAAGACAGCCCACATTCCATACAGGCACTCTCTCTCTCTCTCTCTCTCTCTCTCTCTCTAACACACACAAACACATCAGAGGCTCAGATATTTCTTTGCATCTGTTTATATTTGTTTCTCTTAATTGTTTTTGTCAACTTTGTTGTTTAAGCAGGAATTCAAAGCTCACCCATTTGTTGCAAAGCTCTCTAGGTGAGCTTACTCCCTTATTTTGAAGTTTACCTTCGTAACTCTCTTTCTGTATGTTGTTTTCTTCTGGACCTTTCCTTTCTCAACGACTTAACACTAGCTGGGACTCAACGCGCAGGAAGAGATTGCAAGACTCTAATGTTTGTACAGATTAGCCCAAGTGCTGCAGACTTGGGAGAGACGATTTGCTCACTGAACTTTGCCAGTAGAGTGAGGGGAATTGAGCATGGCCCTGCTCGTAAGCAGGGAGATCCCACTGAGCTTTTCAAGTACAAACAGATGGTAATCACATCACTTCATATAAATTACATGATTGATCTACCAAAATGAAATCCTTTGTGTGTCAAAATATATGCATCTCAACTGTTGTATTACTGACAGGCAGAGAAGCTAAAGCAAGATGAGAAAGAAACAAAAAAACTACAAGACAGTTTGCAGTCATTGCAATTAAGGTTTGCAGCCCGAGAACATCTCTGCAGAAACCTTCAGGAAAAGGTGATAATAAATCGGAGGAAGAAGCAAGCAGCTTATTTTATTCATTATTCATCAATTTCAGCTCAAGTTTTAATCCCATCAGTAGTTAACATAATAAGTGAAACTTCTTCACAGGTTCGAGACCTTGAAAACCAGTTAGCAGAAGAAAGGAAAGCCAGACTCCAACAGGAAACTAAAGCTGCTGCTCCATTCACTAAATCATCAGTATTGGCATCTCAACAACTTGGTCAAAAGGCTGCAACACAGAAGAAACCGCCATTGGGTCCTTCTAAACCTAGAGTGCCACTGAGAGGAATCACCAACCTATTGCCTCCTCCAGCTCCACTTCGCAAAACTGGAATTACAACATTTGCCTCAATATCAACAGAGGATAGAGAGAATTTATCTAAGAAAACAACAGCAACTTCCACCAGGACTCTGATGATGCCAAGGAGGCGGGTCTCGATTGCTGTCAGACCTCCAGAGACAACAACAACACAGGTTGAGAAGCCCAAGAGGAGAATCTCGATTGCAACTCTTCGCCCTGAATCCCACTTAAATCCAATGATGACGCCWCTGAACCGATCAAAAAATGTTGGTGATATGGGTCGACGATCATTTGCAAAGGATGCAAGGATGGTTCGGAGGGTTTCAAGGATATTCTCACCGTTACCAGGACTGAGGAATGCAGCCGCGGAGGCAACACCAGTTGTCTCTAAGAGTAAATTCTTGGGAAGTCCCCCAACACAGACCAGCTCGTGGAAGCCAAAGCATCCAACAGTGGTTGCACTGCAGAAGAGACACTTTATATGGAGCCCACTTAAGCTGAGAGGTCTGAAAAATGATAGAAGGTCCCTACAGCCTTCTTGATTCACACACAACTATTACAGAATCAAGTTTTTATTTTTATTTTTTTAACTTGGATTTTCCCTATAATGAAGGTGATGCTTTCACTTTTAAGTGGCTGTAACTCGTAGGTCAAAAATCCATATTGAGCATTTGTCCTGAAATGATCTATAAAATATAGCTTGAATGGTGCTGTGTTTTGATCCCCCAGAGATGGAAACCTCATGAATAGAACTGCTCTCCTGTTTCTGCAATAAGTTTTATTGGATGATTGCAATCATGCCATCATGGTTTTCTGAACACAATTCCTTAAAAAGGGGCTTCTGATCAGAGGGAAACCATTATCGAGTGGGTTGATGTTAATTGGGATTGATGGATGTCAACATAAGTTGGTATCTGATGTAAACCATTTAGAGGGGATTTCAAACTCCCATGTTGGTTTGGTAAATACATGGCAGTTGTTTTTGTTATAAAAAAATAGAAAAAAAAAAAAACATTTTCACAGGAGGAGGATATAAGATAATGTTGGGTCTGCATGCGCTGGCTTGCCATGGTTTTGAGTCACTTTTGAGGTGCCCCCTGTGGAAAGTCAAATGTCTAGGAGTTCTGAATTAGATATAGGTTAGTACATAGTCAACTGTATTTGCTTTCTGCTTTTTTTTTTCTCTCTTGGTTTAGATATGAATATGTTTTCCACAAGCCAGGATTAATAAGTAGCTTTTAGAGGATGTTGTAATTCATTGGTTCATCAGTAGATGATAGTCTTTGGGTTTGAAGAATTTTCCAACCACCTTAGGGTTTCAACTTTCAAGGTTGTTAGAATGCTCGGTCAGGGGTATTTTGGTCATTCTGGTTTATCTTCTTGAAAGTGAAAGGTCTATCGTATATGAGTTTAAGTTATGTGTATCGTCTTCTATGAGGGACATAATAGTCTTTCTTGTAACTCTAAGTTTTATGAATAAAATTCAAGTGGGTCGGCTAGGAGAGGGATTTTTCATATTCTCTCTTCTAGTCTGGCCGAATACTCTTCTTCTCTCCTTCTTGTTCTTCTTTCTCTTTTCTTTCTTCTTTCTTCTTCTCTACTTTGACCTAGAATCAACTAGGGTTTATTCACATAGTATCAAAACAATAAGGTCTCGTGTTTTCTTGCTGCTGTCTTTTTCCTAGGTTCGCCGCCAGCTTCACAGTAGGTTTCATAAAGGGCTGAAAAGGATTTGTCGTTTTAAGGGCCTAGAGGTGAGAATGCCTCTAGCCGGTGCTCTGGTGGTCGTTGAAGTGGTATACTAGACCCTCTATTCAGTGTACGAAGAGGGTTGGACGTATACAGGTATGGACACTACTGTCGTGTGCTCAAAATGGATTGTGAATGCTAATTTTTTGTGCTTCAAAAGTTAGTTGTTGTGGCGCTGGGTGAGATTGATACACATATCAGTCATGTTCCTTTGTTTTCTTGCTCGCATGTGTACTGAAAGAAGAGTAGTAGACTATTGAAGTCCACGACAACAGTGGTGTGGTGATGGTTGTGTTGTGGTGGCTGACATATCTATGATTCTAAATGCTTAAAAGTGAACTCCTAGACCTTGTGTGTAATCAGTTCTGCAGTATGCAGTCCAAGTGTTTGATGTGTTGACTGAATGATTTCAGCTTTAGAGTGTAGTGTGTAATGTGCAGTTGAAGAAGGTGGAGTTGGTGGTATCATAAGTGAGATAAATCTTGTGAAGAGTGTGAGATTGTGGTGCATATTCAAAGGTGAAATAATTGAGATGGCTTCATTTGCATAGGGGAATGACAACAAAACCGGCATCATGCTTTCTCCAGATTATCTAAGTGTTCAWATGACATCCATCAAGTTGAATGGTGAGAACTATGTACCATGGGCAAAATCTGTGGAGGTGTTCTTGAAGGCCAAGAGGAAAGTAAAACATGTGAGAGAGGAG